TGTTTTTCTACGACTGAATGTTTGACGTAAAAAAGAGTCTGAATGGATACACTTTTCGCGATCGCTGATTCGCTGATTTGTGGTTTTTGTTTGCACGATTTTGATTGGCTAATAAAAATGTTGTTTCAGTGTTGTTTCGGGGAAAGAAGTAACAATACTTTGCATGTACACCATAATTAGATCCCGTAAATAGGGGCGAATCCGTTTCCAAGCACCCATTTTCCAATGAGTGCGTTGGTCAAGACCAAGCTGCTCCCTAGTGGTCATTCCATCCCTTCTGTCGCATTGGGCGTGTACCAGAGCGCTCCTGGTTCCGAGACGTACGACGCCGTGCTCGCTGCTCTCAAGCTCGGGTACCGCCACATCGACACTGCCACCGTCTACCGCAACGAATCGGATGTGGGTAAAGCCATTCGGGACTCGGGGATCCCCCGCAACGAAATCTTCGTAACCAGCAAAATTGTCGCCTCCCGCACCCGATGGAACTACGATGAGGTGGTGGAAGGGGTTCGTTTGAGCAACCGCAAGCTCGGACTCGAGTACATTGACCTGTATCTACTGCACGCCCCCTTTGACAGTACTACACGTGCTGAAGCCTGGAAGGCACTTGAAGATATGCAGACGGAGGGGATTTTGCGTGACATTGGCGTGTCCAACTTTGGCGAGCTGCATCTGCAAAGGCTGGCGGAGACGTGGCGTGTAAAGCCTGCGGTGAACCAGGTGGAGCTGCATCCGTGGTTGGCTCGTGCCGATACAGTCAAGTACTGCGAGGAGCAGGGAATTATCATGGAGGCGTATTCACCTTTGGCTCGTGCTCAGAAGATGCATGACCGTACGCTGAAGCTGATTGCGAGTGAGGTGGGTGCTACTTAGGCCCAAGTCTTGATCGCGTGGAGTCTGGCAAAGGGCTTCGTGGCTCTACCGAAGTCAGTGACCGAGTCCAGAATTAAGGAGAATCTGGAGGCTGCCAAGTTGGAGCTCACGAGTGAGCAGATGGAAAAGTTAAACGGCTTGGACGCGTACTTTGTGACGGCATGGGACCCGATCAAGGACCACGCTGTGTAAAAAGTGAAATCTACTACCACGTTGACACTACCCGCTACTATATCCTGACTTGTTAGCAATGCTTCATGCACAATGCCAATACGTATGTTAAGCATTATTTGGCGTCTAAATTACGAATAGAGTGGCGGGAGGTTGAAGGACGCATGACCAGGGACGACTTCTGTGTTGGTTCCAAGGCGATGAGCCTGAATGAACCCAGTCGACCCGGAGCCCTCGAGCGAGCTAAAAGTGATTTCACCTCCGAAATAGCGTGCAAATAACCTTGCCATCGGCAGTCCATAGCCACCTCCACTAAAGTGTTGCCTGTAGGCTGCATTGGAGTCGATAGGTGGGCAAGGAGCGCTTGTGGTGTAGTCGTAGTGCCACAACTTATTCCAGCGACTGCGTGGAATACCTCCGCCCTCGTCACTGACCTTGATGGTCAGATCCTCACTGCCCACGCAAATTACGATTTCCACTGGCGGTAGTTCTCCTCCAAGCTTGTATTTACTAACGTCAGGGAATATCTTGACACCAGAAACGTCTTCAACCTGCACAAAGAACTTAGTGAGCACAAAATAGAAGCTTCACATGCGATCCATACTAGTCACATACCGAAGGAAGGAAGAATCCCAAGGACGGACTGTCCGGGTTCATTACTTGCTTGAAATGGTTGAGTTCACCTGGGGCTTTGCCAATCCTCTTTTTGTGGTACTCTACCGTCGCACGCATGGCATTCTTCACGAGCTCGAAGACCTAAATGAAAACATGTCGTTGTCTGTTACACCTCGTTGAGTACACCGGATACTGCATTACATACCATGTGGTGCAGATGTGACCGCACATACATCAACGGTGTACTAGCACTTGCTGTCGCGTGGATCTCCACTGGCGGAGCCTCACCGCAGTACTGGACACACAAATTTGTGGCTCGATCGCATGCCTCACGCACGATTTCCTCGACGTTTATAAGATGAACACGTCCTCCTGGGTGCTCGAGTGACTCCACGTGCTGACCAATGAGCATGCGGATGCCGATACGCCCCAGGAAAAACTTGTCCAGTCGGCTCTTGATGTCCTCCTGCGCGCTCTCAATTTGCAAGGCACTGTGTCCGAGATCCGTAGCCTTGAGTTGTTGAAGACCATAACAGATCAGCGGCACCAAGTTGGAGCCGCGTGCCTTGGCTTGACGCAGCGTGTCTGTGAACAATCGGTCCTCCGCCTGCCAACAAGCTCAAAGCAAGTCAGATCTTAGTCATTAATCCATCTCCACGTCTTCTTCTTACGACAGTGGCTGGTGGTTTTGTAGAGTTGATCCACTGCAGTTCTCGTCGGTAGACGTCGATGGCTTGACGGATGGACGCAGTGTCGCTCAGCCCCAGTGGTAGCTCCGAGAGCTCCACAATAGCACTAAACATCCACAAAAAACACGGTAAGAGCTACTATAAACTGCATAACAGATGGAAAGCGCGCAATACACGGCAATAATCATGATTTTGGTGAAAGGGTCATGGTCTTCTTACCGAGCGAAGCGAGACTGCAGCTCCTTGTGCAGGAACTTGGCCGATACAATGTGCAGCTTGGCGCCACCATCGGCAAACGATCGCATCTGCTGCAAAGACAGAGGCGTGGGCTCCGTGTCGGCGATCTCGCGCACCTGGTCCATGGGAATGGGCGTCTCGTAGCTACAGATAACACAAGAGTACCACCGAAATGTCAAAAACCATTACGAAAAGTATCATATTGAGATCCAATTACAAACAAGCGTACAGTTCAGAGGTAGAATGGTGGCTCTGCATGCAGCGCACGTGGTGCGTTCTACCCAGAGCCGTGGCCAGGGGCGCGAAGCTGCCGCCGCGACGCAACATGGTCTCACGTTCGCTGGGCTATTCCCGTTGTGAGCGTTGCGCAAGCACTTCAGCTTCATGCAAATCTGTTGCGCGCTGATTGGTCGATACAGGGCCACAAGAATGTGCTCCACACAAGTTCAATACAGACAGAACCAGGGCAATGGGGACCATTTTAGAGCGAGCTTTGGCCCCGGCACAAGCTGCCAATGTCGACTACCCTTGTAGCAAGTTAACTTAGCTGTGGGTGTTGCTGAGCTCGACAGTACTCATGCTCGCTGGAGACGAAAGTCTCTCCTCTCGGACGGAAACTCGTGCATCAAAACAAGTGATTGGTCGCGTGGAGACATGAAGTGTAACCATGTTGAAGCGCCCACCGAAACGCAAGCGGCAGCTCTGGCTACAACGTACATTGCATCGAATAGTCATAGGAAACTACTACCTGTATATGGTTCGTTGTACAGGTAGTGGGCAGCACACGTCGGTGCTCATTGTCAAGTTGACGCTGGGCTATCGTTGGCAGTGACGCCGATTCGTCGCGCGTCGAGCTTCAGCGTTCCGGTGGTCGGCAGCGTCGATTAATGTTAGCGACAAAGCCATGGCGTTGTTAACCTGCGAGGTACGTTGTATCCACAGACCAAGAAAGAATCCGTGCGAGCCGCAACTTGGGACTCCCAAGGCGGAGCGCCTGAATGAACTTTATTGAGTAGTGTTGAAGGTGGTATATCCCCATATTATATGGGGATTTTTTATTGGCGATCTACCGAGCGGGACAGTTCCATGTGAACTCCATTGCCGTCACTAATTGATAGCCAGAGTTAAAGTTCAAAATTATCTCGAAGCAGGCTATTCCATTTTACCGCCGTATCGATGAACCAAATCCAGTGCGCCGCCCTCAATTCATGTACCCGTTGAACATCTTTGATAAAAGCTAACCCGAGCTTCTGGAATGGTTCCAAAAGATATTATCTCGACAAATTAGGTTTTCAGGGCGTCTTGTACCAGCTCGATAGGTACTGAAGAGCTCTTGTAAACGGAAGACATCGTAACAAATGTCGGTGAGTCCCGTAGGTAGTCTGGAAAAGCTCGTTGATTACATGTTAACACCGTGGTGGCACTACATGTACTACATGTAGTCGATGAAGAGTAATATTCGCACACCAAATTCTCAATAAATATCTAAACCAGATCGCACAGGCCTCGAAGTTGTTTCTGCTTTTCACTCATGACACTAAGTTAGCTGTTCTCCAGGAAGAGCGATCGAATGTGTGCCTGCAGACAAGGTTCGTGTTCGCCATCGTGAGTGCCAACTACTTGTCACAGAAAGCGGCAGGTGTCCGCAGTGTGGCAGACTCCGCATGCATTCTATCTGGACATCTTGCGAGGCGACTTCAGATACCTTCACTGCATTTTTGGCTGAGCAATCGACGTGGAGCAGAAGCAGCCTGGTGACATAGACTTTAAGTCAATGTGCAGACAACCTGCGTGCCGATGCATGCATGCCCATTCTCGTGAGTATGCAATACCATGCGAGAGGCTCCCACAAATTCGAGAGCCGAGGCGATCTATATGTACACATGTTATATCTGTTGCATATACTTTACATATTAGCGTCCTCAACGCTACTTATTGCTTGCCGGTAAACGAGTGCCGTCTTCATCGTACCAGGCAGATTAATTTAGGCAACGGAGACGGCAAACAATTTAGATACAATTCTTTGTCAAACGAAAGTGGCGCTACGATTGTGAACGCGCGTTTTCTTGTGGCACCGCCAGCGTCGTACTATCGTCAGGTCCGATTTGCAACAATGACAAACCCTTTCGAAATAAGTATTTGAGAATCGAAAACTTGGCTCAATTTCTTCAAATCATTCCCATACCCTGCATATTTCGATTCATTACTGAACATTTAATTAGTATCATCTACAGTACGAACTCGCGACAAGAATAATAACAGCGAGAGACACGCAACAAATCCAAGCAGAAAACAGTGAGCTACTTTCGAGTTCACAATTCAATTTGACCCCAACACCTCAAACGACAATGGAACTTGTCAGGCGTAGTGCCAACCCCCATCTCTTATCAGGCGTGCTATCCACGGTCGCCAAGACTGCCGTGGCACGCCACGGTGCTGCACTGCTGCACATGGACGCTTTTCGTGCGGACTTCGAGGCCAACGCCATCTCCATGGACGAGGTGCGCGAAATTGCCCACAACGACCCCACGCCCATGTCTCTCCAGCAGATGCGCACGTTCGCTGATGGTAGCACTAAGCTGCGTCTTGTGGCGGCCAAGTTCGTGCACAAGGAGCTGCAGTCGAGGTACGCACGAGCCATCATGGAGCTGTCCGACTTGCCCATGGGTCTGAGCGAGACCACGTCCGTGCGCCACGCTATCAACTTCTATCGCTATGAACTGCAAAGTATCAATCGCATGAAGTCGCCCACAAATGCCGCAGAGGACCTGGTATTCACACAGAAGATCCGCAACGCCAAGGAGCGCGGCTCGAACCTCGTGCCGCTCATCTGCTACGGTCTCCAGGAACTTAAGGCCACGGATCTGGGCCAGAGTGCACTGCAGCTGGAAAGCGTGCAGGAGGACATCAAGGACCGATTGGACAAGTTCTTCCTTGGTCGCATTGGTATCCGCATGATCATCGGACACCACGTCGAGTCGCTGGAGCACACTGGTGGCCGTGTGCATTTGGTTAATGCCGAGCAGGTCGTCCGTGATGCGTGTGAACAAGCACGGAGACTATGCGTGCAATACTGTGGTGCGGCACCTCTCATTCAGATTCGTGTGACTCCCAGCACCAATATGCCTTTCATGTATGTCGAATCGCACCTTCACCACATGGTCTTCGAGTTGGTCAAGAACTCGATGCGTGCCACAGTGGAGCACCACCGTTCTCGGTTTCAGCTTCCGCCACAAGGCAAAATGAACCGCTTCGAGCGTGTAATGAACCCGAAGAGTCCGTCGCTGGACTTCTACATCCCGTCTGTTGAGGAGGTCGCGGGAGTCAAGGTTTACCCGGATGTGAGCAAATACCGGTCAGGCGACGAACTTCCCCCCGTGGAGATTGTGATCTGCCAAGGCAGTGAAGACCTGACCGTCAAGGTCAGTGACGAGGGTGGAGGCGTTCCACGTAGTCGCTGGAATAAGCTGTGGCACTACGACTACACCACTAGTCTGTTGTGCCCACCTATTAACTCGGACAACTACCCAACGTACTGCGAGCACTTCAGTGGGGGCGGCTACGGTTTGCCAATTGCAAGACTGTTCGCTCGCTACTTTGGTGGAGACGTCGTTTTCAGTTCACAAGAGGGCTCTGGTTCGACAGCGTTTATCCAAGCACACCGCCTGGGAACGAACATGGAACGGGTCCCCCGCTGGAAAAGGATGCAGCCGTCAACTTCATCACCTCCTCGCTGGCAGATTCATCGTTCAAACGCATGAGCTTGGCAAATCGCCAGTAGAATGTATCCGCTCGTATTTTATTATCAATGGACAGTATTAACTTAAACGCTTAAAATATTCCATGTTTTCGATTCTTTTGGCGTATCCTGTGTCGAAGCTTGCTTGGAGCTGGAAAGCGCAAGGTGCACTACCAGCGAATGAGGTGCAATATTACATATATTAACCGCCGGAGCAGTGTGACTTGATAAAGCTACTGAAGGTTTCATTCAATTTGCGACTGGGATTGGTATTAAATGCTATGATTACTTCGGGCATTGATTAGTATGGAGCAGCGTCTGTGGGGCGAAGAGCGCGTTCAGCATTTACCATGGTTTGTCAGACCTGCACCTAGAGACTATCACTTGTCCGCCTGGTACAATACGAGCTGAAGGGTATTATTAATCGCCGCAGCAGAGAAAGTATCCTTTGCACTCCTTACAGCGCTTCTGGAGTGTAGTGCGGTTTGTCCAGACATGTATTTCGAAGTAGAATGGCTTTGCTCCAAGTACAACAAGGAGCTGTTGGTGACATGATGGAACAAAAGAGCAAGACTGGTAGGTGCACCTAACGTAGATCAGCAGATTGCAATTAGATGATGTAGGAGAGACATGGTCTATTTCATTTGCAGGAGAAATTCTTAAAATTCGTACTGGAAAGAGTTTTGTTATTAATATCAATGCAAGCCTTTTGCACAGCCACAAGGTGAAATGCCGTCGATTTTTTTGCACGTGTGGCCCACTACATCATGTAGTACATGCAAAAGCAATGGCATTTTCTATGAACGAGGATAGAAATGACCCGAACTCCATACTTGTTGTCGTTTGCGGAGAGCAAGTTGCCTATTGTGACGTTGCAGTAGACTTTGTCTTCATTGGCTGGAAATATGTAACGTGGACACTCCGACAGCAAACCACACCCTTGTCATAGTGACTAGGACACTTATTCTAGGACAGGATTGTTGGGTACATTTTGAGTTGCATTCGTTTTGTCCCTCTTATCTTCGATTCTTATCTGAACACGCCATTAACAAATCGGAACGTGTTGCTGCACAAGTGATTTTTGCGGCATCGCCATGTTCGTGACGTCTGCACCGCTTTCGGACGGCGCCAAATTCAGCGAGGAGGCGGCGGAGATCGAGCGATTCCGCGCTCGTCACCGCCGCATGTGTCGCGGGCAGCAACAGAACGCTTCGACAACTTCAACAACTGAAGCGCTGGACGTCGACGGCGGACGTACACGCAAAATCTCGGCAAAGTGGCGTCAGAAGCAGCTGCATCGCAATCAAATCGAGGATGGCGCGTGGCCTCAATCAGCAGGCACCGAAATGCACTTATGCTTCAATGCGTTCGACTTCTCGTCGTCGCCCGAAGCCTTTTACGAGGAGGAACCAGTTGAGACCACATCCGAGCCGGTTGAAGAGGAGGAGAAACGTAGATTGCATATGGCTGAGGTGGCGAAGCAAGTGACGGCCATGGGCTTCAACAGTGCCAGTCTGTGGGAACAGAGCTTCCCGGGTCTTCGACAGCTATTCGCCAGCTGCCGACTTTCGGGCAGAATTCCGTGATGCAGAGTCCCCAGTGCAATACACTGCACATGACATCGAGCAGCAAGCGCTGTAACAACCACGACACCATGCGTAGAGTTGAGAAAATGTTAGTAGAATAGTAAATGAATAATACTCTAAATCCCACAAGTAAGTTTGAATTTTACGTGATTCGTGTGCGTTGCTGTTGCTAGACTAATGATTTGCAGGCCATCGAAGTTTCGCGTGATTGTAAGAGATCCTGAACACTCACTATCAGCGTCTCTTCTAGTTTATAATGGCGAGTGTTGCAAATACGACGAAGGCTTGAGCTGGGCCAACGACCACGGAGTCGTCCAGTGGGTGACTTCGTAAAAAACAAAATGAAAATTGTTGTCTGCATTGTGTAGGTGAAACTGCCTTGTGGGCATGAATCTGTGCGGTGTGTAAGGCAGGAGTTCATGGACAGCGCCTGTACTCCAGAATGAAATTCTGCCGTAAAATCGGTCGGTGGTGCTCTGAGTTAGTTTATTGCTCTGCCTACTTTCTTAAAGGTCGACTGACTCGTGTACAATTTCTCAAAAAGCGGCAATGTGCCCCGGGTGATACTTAACCCTTTCACTACCAGCCAAATCCGGCGAGCTTACATGTCCGCAGTAGACCTCTAACAGCGGTGCAGGCTTTCAGTCATTGGCTAATTTTCTCTCAACGAGGGTAAGGCGTCCAGCTCACCAAGACTAACAGGTCCGCAGCGGACCTCTACCAAACACAGAACCGTGAAGACCACAATAATAAGAGGTCCTCTACCGCACACATTTCGCTGTCTATCCGCAAATTTGCGATCTATCAGCACTTTTGCATTCTACCTGCAGTCAAGATGGACATCGCCGTGCTGCTGAACGCCGACGATGGCGCTGACACTGACTGGTGCTTTAAGGTTTCTGATACAGAGGAAGGGGAACCCAACGGGACCGAAGGTGCGGAGGGCGATGACGTATTCAACAGCGAGTCCACTGCAGGTGCGCTACCACCAGGGGAGAGGCGAACTGGCAACGCGTACGTGGATGGCATCATTCATGACAGCGGTCTGCATATAATTCGCGAGGGGCAGGTGAAAGCTGCCTACGAGGAGCGAGGAGAGCTCGGGCTCTTCTCCTTGTTCTTTACCAGAGAATTTCGGGACTCGTTGCACAGGTGGACGAACGAAATGCTCAAAGAGAAAGGAAAGCCTGAGGCAACAGTGTGCGAGCTTGATGCTTATATTGGCCTAGAGATTGCGATGAGTTTCAACCCTGTGACCGAGATCAAGGAGTTATGGTCTCAGAAAATGTTTATGGGGCAGTCAGACTTTGTGGCAACAATGGCGAGGAGTCGCTTTGAGCATATTCGGGCGAGGTTTCAGGTGCACGCACCTGGAAGCGTGCCAGTCGAGCGGCGCGAGCAGGATCCGTTGTGGCACAGCCGGCGACTGATGTCACAAATACAGGAGAAGTTCGCCGCGATTGCAGTCCCGGTTGGTGCTGTCAGCTTAGATGAAAACACGGTGCGCACAAAGGCGCGATCGTCGGCTAGAACGTTCATGCCCTCGAAACCCGATAAGTATGGCGTGCGTTTCAACTCTGTTGTAGGCTGGGAGAGCCTGTATGCCTACTCGGTGTGGGATAATGGATCCGGCAATCGCACACAGACCACCCCGGCTGACAGATACGTAGACGTCTTCCCAGCGCTTAGATCAGCATTGTTTAGAACTCTAGATCGCGACGATGTCTGCATCAAACGTAAAGATGCTAGTGCTCTATGGATCGCGATGTGCGGCCACCTAACCAAGACGTATCCAGCACCAACCCAGCACCGTTTGCTCGTTTGTGACAACTTCTACACTCGACACAATCTAGCTAAGACTCTGACAACGTTTACGGATGGCGAAATGAAGCTGCTGGGAACTGTTCGTATAGGATTACAGGGCAAGTGGATGGCCGAGCGTTTGGAGGCTTCGAAAGCAAGGATCGATAATGCTGAACGAGGCTCGTGGGAGCTTATTGCAGCGCTGGATGTACCAGTCGACTGGGAGAAGCTTCAAGAGAAGCACAAGCGTGCGCAAAAAAAAATTCCAGCACACCGGCAGACGCCGTACATTCCGCCAACAACGACAGCTTCGAACGCGGGCTACATCGTTTTTCGCGACAAGAAAACCGTGGTCTTCTACACCAACGATCTGGCAGGTACTCCTTCGCAGGATGTACTGCCTGGGCATTCTCAAGAGGCAATTCAGCTATGTCGTGGTCTTGCTCCGCTACGGCGGTGGACTGGAGACCAGGTCATGCACCGAAAAACGTTCCAGGTACCGGCCATGATAGTAGCGTACAACCTCTTCATGAACGGCGTAGACCGAGTGGATCAATTGCGGAGCACCAATCCAATCCGACGGAAGGAGAGGCGGCTCTCCATGAGCATCCTCACGTGGGCGTTGGACCTTGCGCTCATCAACTCGTTCGCACTGTTCCGAAAGGTAGCGAAAACTGCATCAGCACGCATAACGCTGCGCGAATTCAAGCGGCGTGTAGCTCAGAAGTTGACATCCGTACAGCAAGCACGGTGGCAAAAAGAGCGCCGCAATCAAGCAGCCCCGAACCAGCCCATTCAAGATGTTGTCGGAGCCGACGCGAGTCCCCATGCAATCACGCCCAACTCAAAGCAGCACTCCAAAGGCAAACTAACATGTTATCTCTGCTCTCTGCGAGGATTTCCCAGCAGGAAAGCGCTTTTCGGGTGCACAGGGTGCCACAGAGGGTTCCACGTTGTTTGCTTTACAGCCTTTCACTTTCAAGACGCACTTTCATCTAACTCAGCTGCCGTCCGGTCAGCCCTCGACGCTCTGTGTGCCGAAGCTTCAGGAGACCCCCTTGCACACACACGCCTGAAGAAGAACAAGACGATAACGTATCTAAATCAGCTTGAACTGCCATAACGTGGAGAAAAAAGCAATGTAGACGTACGTGACGATTGTGTTGAGGCGAGATATCTGCTTGTCGACGCAGAGGGGTAGCTCGACGCGCGCCTCCCTGCACAGGCGCCCATTTTTCCTGTAAAAATATAGCTGTGCTAGCGCCTTCTTGACGCTCCGTGGAGCTCGTTGTCCACGCCTCCGTGTCAACATTCGAAGCCTGCTGCTGATGATGTACTTGCTGTACTGGTCCCATTCACACGGCGCGTCGCCACAGTAGCTGCATGCCCGCGTCGATTCCAGCCCAACCATCTCTGTGCCAGTTCCCCCCTTGCCAGTTCGGAATTTTGAATATGAAGCAGTACCGTGAGCGACTTCGCTCAACAATTTCACCAACCACGTGGAAAATCAAAGCCATACCATTCGCTGATTTTCGTTTTTACTGATAGCTTAGTGGTCGAGGTAGAGGTCCGGAGCGGACCTACAAAAAAACTCTGGTAGTGAAAGGGTTAATACGGAGTCGTTAGGATATAGCATATATTTCACTAAGCTTCAGTTACTTCAAATATTTGCTATGGCTGCGCTGTAGGCAGTAGCCGGCCTGTATAGTCTGGATAACGATTGATTTTTAAGAATGAAATGTAGTGGTACAAAATTCTAATACATGGAATGCGATGCAAGCAAACAGCATTTCAAGCATAGTACAGCGGTTGGTAGTACATCGTACGCCGCTGACCTATATACGGGTTATAGTACACGGGAGCTCCCCACAGCACATTTACCCCAAAAGTCGATACTCGCTGGATAGGTTCGCCAGATACTTGACGGCTGGGGAGTTTCTGCTCCCACATACTGGGGTTCTTAAAGCCCATTGATGCCACTTTCTTCCCCACGTCTGCCATGAACTGTTTCCTTTTTTGCTGATCGTTGTCGTCGACAGTCGCAGGTTTCACCTCGCCGACCGGTTCCGACTGAAGCTCTTCGTCGACCTGCTGCTTTGGTACGATGGCGGTGTCTTTAACCACCTTGGACTCCTCTGTCTCATCGAAGAAGCCCTCGGGTGATGCTATAGAGTCAAAGGCGTTGTAGCCCAAGTGCATTTCCGTGCCTGCCGACTCGGGCCAGTAGCCATCGTCCAAGTTGTTGCGGGCCTGCGCCTGCTGTTGCTTCTTCCGCCAATTAGCGGGAATTTTGCGAGTACGACCTTCGTCCACATCAAGGGCCTCGATCCGGGATCCGGGTAATGCAGTCTGCTGCCCACGACAAAGACGTCGATGGCGAGCACGAAATCTCTCGATCTCCGAAACTTGTCGACTGATTTTGGGACCATCAGATGGGAGCGGCGAGGGCGAAATAAACTGAAACATGGCGTGTGTTGACAAGTAGGAGGTACTGAGTTGGATGCTGCTAATTGAGAAGTGAGGGTGGACGATAAATGCCTTATCCGAAGGATAATTCAAAATGAAGTTGAAGCGTGACAAGGTGCATTTTCAGCCAATCACGGAGGATTTCGCGAAAACGTCAGTGACGTTCGTGTACAATTGTACAGCCAAACTCATGAACGAACACTGCTGCCATGCATCTACATGTTGGCGGCGCCAACAAATTTACACCTGATTCCATTTCGCAGTACGTAAGCCGGCGTCAACAAAACGTCAAGAACGGGAAAATGACGGGGCTTCTTGTGACGCAGCGATTGGCTTGGTGAGTACTGTGGCGATTGTTCATAGAACTTGCCAGCCAGTTGAAATTTGCAGCAGCGAGCTTCTACACTGCGCACACGTCGAGTATTTCCCTGGGCTAGTAGTACCAGTACTGCATAGCTTGGCAGAGAAGCACCATTGTAAGTAAATGAAGTTGAAAGTCTTTCAACGCGCGTTAGGATTGGTAGAAAAGGGGATGATTATCCTTCAGAATGATTCGTATTATCAGCCACATTGAAGTTGTATAGCTCGATTACAGAGCCCTGCTCTACACAATGCGTAAGCTCGAGATGCCGAATACCGCGTCTTGCTGCTCCACCCGTGGGAAGAGCTCGGCTCGCATGACCTCATCCAGAGCTCTTAAGGCGCGGTTGGCATGGAATACCACGACACGGTCTCGGTTGACACGTGCAACGTGCTTGAGCGTATGATACAGCGGCGATAACTGATCCGGCATCAGCTCCAGTATCTTCCAGCCAAGCAGTTCTATGAGATAGCGCAGAACGAATACAGCTCCCCGTCGCACCGCCACCACGCGCTGCTGCTGCTCTTCCACTTGATGCTTCCACAGCTTCTGTTGCTCGTCCTCAGTAGCTCCAGGCTTTGGACGACGCTGTGCCTCAAGCTCCAATTCCAGCTGAAGAACGCCGAAAACGCAAGTGAGCACGTCTAACAGGAACGGTTGAAGCCCCCACTGTAGGAGTGCACACACTTCGGCTAGATTCGACAGACAACTAGCACGTAATGTTGCAGCGGCAAGCAGCTCTTGCTCACTCTCTCGCTCGCTCTGCGATGTTTCTGTCGTTGCCGCTTTCTCTGCATCGCTCTGTATCTCTTGAATTAGTTGAATGCGCTTGACCGCCTCTTTCTGGATCCGCTGCACACGTTTCCTCTGCGAAGGATGTGGACGTATACAATCCAAATAAGCATACACGAACAGCTTGCCGTACTTAGGCAATGTGTCGCCACACCGTTTAGCAGCGAACAACAACGCTTCGCTGAGCTTAATGCGAGATTCCAACGAGTTTTGCGGGTCTTGTAGTGCCTTCACCAATGCAGGAATTGCTACATCTGGATGGGCGTCTGCCAATGCTGCCAATCCTTGGACAGCCGCAAGGAACACATAACTCTCCGAGTCGTGTAAATGTAGTAGGAAGACTTGAGCTAAGGCATGCACTCGTGGTGTCCAATCTGCGTCATGCGCGTGCGTATGACTCCGCCGCACAAGTTTTGTCAGCGTAACAACCCCACGTGCACGCAACGGCACCAGCTGACTAGATAGGTCCTGTTCAGCCTCGCGAAGCACCTCCTCGAAACTCTGCTCGCCTGCTCTTGTTGTTTTGGCATCTGTCGCGCCGCGGCTCAAAATCTGCGCTCGGGCGTTGCTTGCGAGCTCTGCCACTTCAGGTCGTGGGTGGCGAGATAAAACCTCCAGTACAGGAAGCAGTGCACGAAGCTGCTGTTCCTCCGAGTCACTGCGATGTGACGCTCCTGCTTCGAGAACCGTCATAACCACACCCAAAGAAATTGTCAAGATCTCGTCTCCTTCATCCTCTTCGTTGTCCGCTGTCTGCACAACACTCTCGTCCTGCTTCTCTGTATCCACGAGCCTTGTTGCAGGGGTGTTATATGTCTCCAGAACAGTTCCAATACACTGCAGCACTGTTGCAGCACTACGTAGCACAGATAGTCCCAAGCATTCGATGAGCGCCAATAACACCATCAGAACCATCTCAACACCTTCAGCACTTGTAGGACTTTTCATAGGTTCGTATAATGCGAATGGAGATGCTGCACTTTTGTCCTTGACGTTCACATCAATAGCTTCAGTCGTGCCATGCTTCCGCACGTGCATGTAGGTCAATAAAAGCGAAGAAAAGAGATCTCCGACCACTTCCGAATTTTCAAGCTCCTTGTCACCCAGTAGCTCCACCAGCGGCATTATCAAAGCTTTCAATGACTCAGTAGAATCAAGTTCAATTGCCGACGTAGGCTTTAAAAGCCGAAGGGATACGCCACCACCTCCGCCTGCACAAAATTCTCGCAGTGGCCTCCATGATTCTTGGGCAAAATTCCGCTCATACCCGCAAGCTAATAGAGTCGGCTGGAGAGGTAACGCAACAGGAAGTATCGCCAGTTGGAGAAGTAATGCCGCGTTTGAACATGAACGAATCCACGCTGTGAGTAGCGCACGTAGCGGTGCCACGAGAAAACTCTTGCTAGATGCAGCGAACGCGTACATATGGAGGAGAGAACGGATTAACGGGGCTAGAGCTTGTAAAAATCGCTGAGAAGGAGGCGGGCCACACAGAAGTAGTCGAGCAATGCCCACGCAGCGATTCAAAGCCTCTTCGCTTGTTTCTCCCACTGGAAAATTTGCATCCAACCGACTATCTTCGTAAATCAGTAATGGGTGGAAAAGTATCGATAAGATCTGCGAGTCGAATAGTGCGGAGTGGCGGGTGGCCAACTGATCGGCCAACAGCGCTGCCATTTCACCCAATAATTTGCTGCTGGAATTTCCCTTCTCAGGAGTCACGGCAGCAAGTAAAAGTCCACGGACTTGCGTGCACAATGCGGTTGCATATTTCTCGGGATCCTCGCCGCTTGGACATTGGCATATCAGAGTGGCAACTTGCATTCTAGCCTGCGTATTTCCCTCATCCACCGCTCCGAGCAGCATCTCGATCGTAGCCACAATCCCTCCGTCTTCCATCAGTAATCGCGACAATAAGTTACCACAGCGCGCTTTGAACCGCTGACCTACCGCCTGTTCATTCGCTACAGATGTGGTCTGTCCGAGTGCCGCACGCAGACTACTCATGCTCATACGCAGCGGCAATACCCGCAACATCATCTCTAGTAGTCGGGTAAATTCCGTTTGGACGGGTGATGGTACCTCCGTATCCATCGCCACTTCTCCATACACCAACAGAGCTAGCAACTCCACCACGTACTTCGGCAGCAAAATAGGCTGGAACTGTGGCAGCGATAGCAACTGCAACATGGCTTGCGTGATATTCAGAAGCCCGCTCATTGTCTCCTCACTCTTCAGCTCAGCATCAACAATAACTCGAGTGTATCCACGATATCCCCACATCAGCACGTCCTTGGAAACTGCATTCACACAATTCAAAAGTCAGCTAAACCCCTTCCCAACTCTCCCAAAGCCTCATGTCTTACTCTCCAAAGTGCGTGTGGGTTTCCTCTTCTCAATCGGCATGAGTATTCCAGCAGCTACACGAGGGTGGGCGCCCCAACAGAAGAGCAGCTCCACAGCTGCCTGCAACACCGAATAGTCCCGCAAACTTAACAGACCCGCGGGTGCTTTAGGCTTCTCTGCTTGTCGGGTCGTTGGCGGTCCCGTTCTCTTTCGTTCTTGCGCCTCCAATTGGTCCAGACGCGTCATACAGAGAGACAAACGTTGGAATGTGGGCACAAGACCGCGTCGCCACACTTCGTTGTGCCATTGAGCGCCGCCCAGCGTCTCGGGAGATCCGCAAAGCACACGCACAGCCTCCATGACATTGCAATTCGCCTCGCTAGCGTCCTCCGCCTTCTTAATGTCCCGCAGAGTGTCCACAAACACGCGCAGCGAGCGCATAAGCGCCTGCTGTTGCTTCACCTCGACATCCATGGAGTTGATCAGCAAAATTTGACAATAGCGATAGATTACGTAATATTGAAAGACAATATTGTGGTTGAGATTGATTTTTAGAGGGAGTGGACTAGGTGTCTTCTACGAGTGTTTGAGTACAAGCAACACTGTCATGACGAAGATCATGACGAGCAGCAGCCCGATGCACTTCATGGGACGACTGTTCTTCTGCGTTTCCTCAGCCTTTTCCAGTTCCTCGATACCCTTCTCCGTCTGCTCCACCACCTGCTCCATGTTGTAGTCGATGCGGTCCAAGATCGTGCCCTGGTCGATCACGAGCACGGCTAGTTCCTTAAATATTGTGGCCAACTCCGTGATGGACGTGGCGATACGTTGGATCTCCTGGTCACGCTCATTGATGACGTCCTCAGCGATCTCCACCTCCGTGATCTGAGCCTGTGTGAATCCCTGAAGCCGCGCAAGGACATTGTGGCAACATTAGACTACGATGTTCCCTATGCGTAGATCGCTTTTAAACTTGAAATCAACGCACCGTGTCAGCTCCACCACGCCGTTTCTGCTTGGCGTCATTTTCTGCTAGGAAGTCGAACTCGACGGGGCCCTCTTTCTGGTTCTTTACACGTGCAAGATAAGTCTTCTGTGACTTTCGGAAGTCGCCTGATAATGTCTGGAGCTGCGTCGCCAATGCTCTATTCAACATCAAGATCATTAGCCACAGATCATTAGCCACAACGATTGTTTTCAGTCAAATACTTGTCCTTCTGCTGGCGTACCTCTGCACATTCTGTCTGGTCTTCGCGTCAGCGGCGGAGAACTCCCCATTCCGATCACTTTGTGCCATACGCCGCAGCCCCTTCTCAGCACTGCGGAACTCGTCCGTAATGTCCTGCGTCAACTGGTCGATCTCCCGCTCATATTTGGACTCTTGACCGTCGAAGCGCACCATCAAGCGGCTCGTATGCAGTTTATTGAGCTTCTCCACTGCAGTATCAATAACAAATATAATACATCAGCCCCCCTCCATTCTGCTCCGGTTTCGCCATCTTCTGCCACGTACTCATCTCCTTAATACGCGCCACGTGCTGATTGGTGCCGTTCACAACGTCCACCCAACCGGGAGCGATAGCGACACTGGTGGCTTCCTGGTCCGCGCTCTTTATGAGTGCATTGCCCTCTTCGCGGTGGCTCACGATATTCTTGCGTCGCAGCACTTTAGCCTTCTCATCCGCACGCAACTGAAGGAACTGACGCGTCAAGTCCCGTGTCGCCATATTCCCTGTCTGTCGATGGGCCTCAACTCTGTGTTTAAACGCTTATTCCAACGCCTCGGGACAAGCTTCCGCGCGTACACTTCACGTCTCGCGCTGGCTTCAGTATTGGAATTCCGCCTCGATGTATTTTTGGGTAGTTTTGTATCAGCTATGTGGTGTACACAAACAGATGGTCTGCGAATCAATATCTTCGTGGTTGAAGTGCTCTAAGAGCTCGTCAGTCTCTAATCTCCCCTGTTGGCCACAGATGCGGGGGCTCCAATTGACTTTCACCGCGCTATTAGCGACTACCACCAGCTTGAATGCCGCCATCGTTCCGCTTGACCGATGGACTTTCCGCTCTGCCAATGGCTCCGTCCGCGTGGACAACGCATCGGTGCCTGGAACCTCGCATGTCCACTTGATGGAGGCTGGCGTGATAGGTGATCCGTACTATCGTTTCAATGAGCGCGAGTATCAATGGGTAGTACAGGAGACATGGACGTACGAGACGCAAGTGACATTGCCAAGCGACGTTAGTTCAAAGCCCACGCTTGTGTTCGAGACGTTGGACGGAGTGGCACATGTGACGGTCAATGGGAAACAGGTAGCGACTACGGCGAATTCCTTCGTGTCACACAGAATTGACGTTGCAGCAGTGTTGCTGCCTGGGGTCAACCACATCCAAGTGGAGTTTCAACCTGTTTTACAGTACACCAGAAATCAGGCTGACACATATCCGTACTTTGTTCCGGCGACGGAGAACTTCAATACATGGACGGAGCCCACACGGCGTTCGTTTGCCCGCAAGGCTGGATCGGATTTTGGCTGGGATTGGGGCCCGGCATTCGTTACGTCGGGCATTGCTGGAGCAGCGTATATCGAGTTTGGTGAGCCGGTGGTGAAGCTGAAGGACCTGCAGGTAGTTCAGGTCTTCCCTGGTGGAAAGGAGGACCTCTCGGTTGTGGATGTTACCGTCCGTGTGGCGCTAGATGGCGGGAAAGCTAAGCATGAAAACGTCACCTTTGACTTATTTGTCAATGAGGAGAAGAAGACTACTATTTTGACCACGATACCAGAAGACTGGAAGGAGGACACGGCAATTGAACTTTTGTAAGAAAACCATTAGAACAAGTATAATGCCGCTTTTGATTGCTAACGTTGATGCTTTTTGCTCGCTATTGCAGGTTCCGATTGGAGAATCCGAAATTGTGGTGGTCTGTTGGGTATGGCGAGCCCTACCTGTACGGCATACGCGTAGATGCATGGAACTCAGACTTCAACTCGACTCTTTCTCACAAAATCGGTATACGCCAAGTGGAGCTGGTTCAGGATGACACACACGCTGGCAATGTGGCTGGGAAGACGTTTTACTTCAAAATTAACCAAGTTCCTATCTTCATCAAAGGCGCAAATTGGATCCCGGCAGATTCGTTCCCCACGCGTACCAAGGCATCCACGATAAGTCATTTACTCGAGAGTGTTCGTGCTGCGAACATGAACATGGTACGATAGCTCAATTAATTGAAAATTTGCTCACCAATACTTCATAGTTACGCTGTCGTTCTACGCGGCAGGTTCGAGTTTGGGGAGGTGGTCGATACGAATCCGACTTGTTCTACGCCGAATGCGATAGACTGGGGATCCTAGTATGGCAAGAGCTCATGTTTGCGTGTGGAATGTATCCTCGCGATACTGCATTCCTCCAGAATGTGCTGAAGGAGGTGAGTGTTCAGGTCAGTCGGCTTCGCAAATACACCAGCATTGCAATCTGGGGAGGAAACAATGAGAACGAAAACATGATGGAGCAGTTTGTTGAGGCTCCAATATTTCCACCGGGAACGACCTTCAACCGCGATATTGCTGTTGTCGACTTCACCACACTGTTCGTGGATTTAATTCGTCCGATTATTGTAGCATTGGATTCGAGTAGACCATTCGTCGATACGTCTCCGTCTAACGGTTTGTATTCGGTTGACCCTTACGTCAAGCGATGGGGTCCCACGAATGGAGTCGCGTTTGGGTGAGTACTGTGTGTCTTTTGCTATTTGGTAGCGAATTCGAAGCTGATTGCGACGTGTTTGTTTCGGTCCAGTGACGTTCATTTCTACGACTACAACAACGACTGCCAAGACTATCGAATGTACCCGCGGGCTCGCTTCATCTCCGAGTTTGGCTTCCAGAGCTGGCCTTCAGCTGATTCACTCCACAATATCAGTTCGAAGGACGACTGGGATTCTTTTCAAGCGTTCTGGAAATTCTTAAAGTATCGCGAAAGGCACGAGAACGGCACGACTCAAATGGTCACGCAGCTCGAGCGCCGCTTTCATGTGCCCTTCCCTTTCCGCAACGAAAAATGGCTTGGTGAAGTGTCCGATGTTCAAGATGATAAATCGTTCGGCTTTAGTATCAGCAAGCGCATCGAGTCGTATCTGTATCTGACCCAGATCCAGCAATCGCTGTGTTATCAAACAGCCATCCAGACGTGGCGCCGTGGCAAGAACGTCGAGCTCGGTATGACGATGGGCATTCTGTACTGGCAACTTAACGACATTTGGCAAGGTAGCAGTTGGTCAAGCATCGAATACTCCGGTCGATGGAAGAGCTTGCACTACGTGGCAAAGCGGGAATTTGCTTCTTTCATCATTTCCATCCACAAACGCGAAGACAGTAAAGCTGTGGAAGTGTACGCCGTGAGTGATGTAAACGAAGATTTGCACGTTGACGTCGTGTATGAGATCCGCCGAACCAAGTGTGGCAGTCTCGTGAAGTCCATCGACCGTCAAGCCATCACCGTTGCAGCATTGGTGCGTGGTCCCAATGCACTGTCTTGTGTAGTAGTTACGTCAAACTAACTGTACTATTGCGTAGGAGAGCCGCTTGATCGAGGAGCTGGACATCGAGGCGCTACTGGACCATGACGCGACGTCCTGTCATCACAGATCCTGCTTCTTACATGTTCATTGCGTCGTTAAGAGCAGCACCACTGGGCTTGAGACGGCTGCCTGCGAGGACACGAATCATTTCTTCGCGCCGTACAAGCACCTCAACTTGGGCTGGGGAGAGGTGGCTGCGCACTCCGTTGTGAAGACCGAGAGTGGCAATGCCGTCGTGTTTAGCGTGGAACTTGTGGCAACGGACTTTGTGGCTCTTTTCGTCGAGGTGGATGTGCCAGGTGTGCTTGGCTATTGGAGCTCTAACTCGTTCTTGATGGTGGGAAATGAGACCAAGATGCTGAATTTCACGGTGTCGGCCTCGGAAAATGTGGACATGATCACGGTCGACGCGTTCTCGAGGTTGATCACTGTGAATTGGCTCCAGAAGAGCTACGACAACTCGGTCGAGGACGTGGCGGTGCAGTAAACCGGAGCGGTGAGCAGTGCTTCAGCTCGTTCTCTGTTCGATGATCGGCCGCTTCAAGTTGGTGACTTGGATTCATTATGTGACAGGCAAATAAGCAATAGCACCCTCGTATTTTACCTGCTCACACGACAGTCAAAACTGTCTAGTCAAAAATACTGCAATCAGAAATGCTGACGATGCTAAACAGCATGACACTGCCGTCGCCGCGGGTGCAATGATTCTCAAAGCAAGACAGGAACACATAACAGCGAGATCGCTGCATTTGACAATACCGTATTGATATGCTGTCAGAGATGCGAGGCCATAGCTGTCCTCAGCATGTTTCTGGAGTGGTCAATGCATCCATGAGCATATATTTCAAAAAGAATGACACATTACTCATTGAATCACGTCTGCCGACGGACAACAAATTCGCGAGGTGGCACAGAATTTTTAGCATCTTCATTTTATTCCCGTTTCGTGCCGCATTGTAAGCGACACAAAAATCAGCGGACCCTCAGTGTGTTGTGTATCAAGTGCTAAACCTTGTTGTGAAGTATAAATTGATAGCATTCGATGCCAATGCTCAGCTTAACACCACAGAACTGCCACGACACTTATCACCACCACTTACGCTTTTTCGAGTTCTGATTCGTACTATAGCAGCCCCACTACGATCCCTACATGTATTATAAATAAGTACGCTGGTCGGTTTTTCTGAGCACTTGTAGGATTAGATACGACAGTAAAATTTGAGGGTGATCTCCGTAATCAGGCTGTCCAACGCCAGCATGTTCAAAAACCGACTAGAGAGCGAAGAAACTCGAGCCATTTCTACACTTTCACCATGGCCGACGCTTCGTCCACCGAGCGCCGCCAGCAGCTCCGAAGTCTCAACGACTCTCTAGTCAGCGGCTCGCTGTCCCGCCAGGAATATGACGAACTACTGCCGTTCCTGGCATCCCCAACCTCGACGCAACCGCAACAAGACGCCGCGTTCGACGCCGCCCTAGCCGAAGCGCAACAGCCCGCTGACCGCCACTCGAGTCCACACCGCATAGTCCACTTCGCTGACAACGCGGATCCGCCGGCCCCAGAACCCATTGAGGCTTCGCGGCAGTATCAGATGCTCACGCCCGTCGCGTCAGCGTCATCAGGACTGCAGCTACGCTGTCCGGCGTGTGGCACCAGCAACGACACGTCGCGTGGTCCTCGCTGCTACGTATGCAACTCGCGTCTCACCGTCGCCGACGAACTGTCGGCTGCAGCGGCCGCTAGAGCGAGTTCGAGCTCGAGACAGCGCTGGCCTATTGTGACGGCCATGGCGCCTCCTAGTGGCGCGTTCAGCGCGGCGGATGACGGCCGCGTGGTGATCCACAACGGGTTCTTCTCGTGCACCATGCAGACCACGCAGGTCATCGCTACAGCGGAAGGAAGCGCCTGTCAGGTGTTCGTCATGTGCTGCACGTGGCAGCCTCGCCCTACTGAGGGTACAAGCACCCAACAATATGAAGCGACGTGGTATGTATCGCAACGCTTTAGCCAATTCGAGAAATTGCACAAGGCACTCAAGAGGAATTTGGCACGCTCCACGTCGGCATCGTTGCCTCCATTCCCGGCCAAATATTACCTCACCGACCGCCTGGAGAAGAGGAAACAGGGACTGGGGACGTACATGCCGCGGCTGCTGGAGATGTGTGCTCATTTACCCAACGCACAGCCAGTGCCAGAGCTGGACGAGTTCTTAGACATCTCACACCAGGTTCAGATCTTCCGGTCGCAACGTCCTAGTGCTGCTCCTGTTGTGAATGCAAGTCCACCAGCTCAGTCTACAGCGGCGTCGTCGTCGTCGTCCTTCCCGGCGTTTACAGGCCCGGCGATGCTGCCATCTCAGTCAGTTGCGCCGCCTATGGATGCAACGGAACTTGCTCAAGCTGAGGGTGCTGTGAGACTCCTTGCCAATGCAGTGCGCAACGCACGAGGAGATGTACGTGGCGACGGTACTGTCCAGCATCATTTGGACATGTGCGTGCAGTTGGCACCCGGACTACAGCGCTCTGCTGATGTGGATAACCCGTTCGCCGACGCGGAACTCATTCCGCGTGCCATGCAGTGTCAAGAAGATCTACAACAGGCAGTTGCGATGTACAATGATGCACTGCTCGCTGCCTCCGGGATAGCACCGACCCAACAGCAAGCGCAGCGAGTTCAGCAGCCCGAACCGCACGTCCAAACCCAACAAATGCCGGTGCACAACGTCGTACCTGCAAGCGCCGCGTAATGTATCCTCATGATACATTCGCTTGACAACCTGAAGTTTTTATTGCCTGCTGTAACTAGTGAAGATATCGTTTTGAATTATGCGTTCTTGTTCTTGTGTAGATTTCAAATGAAATGTATTGGAAAACATGCAGCTAAACATGCAAACATCCACCAGCGCCATCCTGCAAAGGCGCTATCTGTCCGCCAACTCCCATCTCTCAAGCAAGCTACCAACGGCTTCCTGCTGCTTGTTTTCCTCCTTTCCATACGACCATACCTATGCTGTCCATTATCGTCACTGTTTAAACACCGTAGCTGGGCTGGTACGAGTTCTGCTGGCCTGGGACGTACGGAGGAGGCGCCTGCACACCGCCACCTTCTTGTGCGGAGAGCGCGTACGTCTCCGTGACAGCAAGCAGCGAGTCGTTGTACAGCCCCATGGTCGTCTCCAGGTCCTCCTGGCACTGCATCGCGCGAGGGATCAAATCCACGTTAGCGAACGGATTGTCCAGGTTCGCCGAGATCTGCAGACGCGGCAAAAGCTGCACACACACCTTAAGGTGGTGCTGCACCTGCGGGTCACGGCGCAAGTCGCCACGCGCACTACGAATGGACGCGTTCAGCAGCGCCACCGCCTGCTCCGTGTGTGACAGCTCCTCTTCATCCAGAGGCGTAGGCAGCTCCGTAGGCAAACGAGCCTGCTCGCGAGCAGCCATCCCTTCAGCGCCACCAGCGTTCACGTTCAGCGCGCGGCCAAATCCTGCCGCGGCGCCAGATTCGTCACCACCACCGGACATGAGCTGACGGCGGTACTGCTCAACCTGGCGCGACACGTTCAGGAAGCGGTCCAGCTCCGGCACGTTCAAGTTCTCAGGAAGACGAGCGCACAACTCCAGCACCTGCGCAACGTATCTCTCTAGGCCCTGCTTGCGCTCCTCCACAATCGCACTCGAGTTGCCCGTCTTGCCCTTAAACACGCCACCAAGAACGTGCTTACGCGGGAACATCGGGATCGTAGCCACAGCCGTCGGAATCTTTCGCTTCAGATCCTTATGAAGCTTCTCAAAGACGCTAAAGCGGTGAGAAACCAGCCACGTTGTCGACTCGCTCCCGTCCTTGGGCTGCCACTGACAACGCAGCACGTACACCGTGTACTCCGTGTAGTTGTCGTCCTGAAGAACCTGCGTACGGTGCATCTGCGCCTCAAAGTATCCGTCGTGGATCACAATGCGACCGTTTTCCGTCGAGAACGTGCCCAGAGGTGCCGTCAGCGTCGACAAACTTCTCTGCTGACGATTCTGGCCACGGTATCCGTAGTAGCCAGGATCAGCGGCGGCAGCAGCGGACTCATCGCTCGTAGTAAGCAGGGAGCCACACTCGTCACAGTGGTTACCATTGGCCGTGTTGTTAGTGGCACCACAAGCGGGGCAACGAATCTGGATGCCGTAGACACCCGTGGTATACAGACGGCTCAATGACTCCTCCTGTTCGGCGGTGAGAGCAGCGCCAGATGGGACTTCTTCGGGCTTCTCGAGCAGGAACGGCACAAGCTCGTCGTACTCGGACTGAGTGATAGCCCCGCTCAAGAGTAGGTCGTTCAGCTGCTGTAGCTGCTCGCGGTTCTCCTGCGAAACATCGTCGGGGATCTCCACCACGTGCACTTGGCCAGCAGGCGTCTGCACACTGTTCACCTGAGCAAGACCACTCAACAGGCTGGCGCTGACGCTGGCAGCCTCCAGAAGAGCCTGTTCCTTGCGACGCTCTGCCTCCTCGCGCTCGCGTTCCATTCGCTCTTCGAGCTCCTTCGCCTCAGCAATAGCACGCAGCTCGGCCTGGCGCTCGTGCTCCACAGCAGCAGTCGCCTCCGCAGCAGCAGCTTCGGCTTCTGCAACGGCAGCCGCGGCTTCCTTCGCCAGTCTGATAGCCTCCTCCTCTGCAGCACGGGCTTCGGCCTCCATGCGAAGACGATCCTCTTCGGCCGCAGCGCGAGCAATGCTCTCGCGACGGGCAATTTCAGCAGCCATGCGGGCTTCCTCTTCACGACGCTTAGCCTCCTCTGCCTGGCGCTTGGCCTCAGCAGCACGTGCAGCAGCCAGAGCAAGCATTTCCTGCTTCTTTGACTTGAACAGACGACGTGCCGTCATACCACGGAACAGAGCCTGCACCACCACCACAGCCGAGCGCTTCTTCTTGAAGTCACGACGCACCGACAGTGCACGCCACCAGCGCTGAATACGCACCACCGAGTTGCGGCGGAACTGGATACGACGCAGCAGCTTCGAGAAACTGTTCTGGGCAACGACCTTCGCCAGACCCACACGCCAACGGCGACGAGCCAGCCACAGCTTCATGCGCGACACAATGTGCGGGCCTTCGGTGGCCCAGTTAATTTTCAAGATCGAGTCCAGCACAGCGATTTTACCAGCCTTGAAGAACAGCTTGGTAATACCCAGCTTGTACGCATCCATCGGCACCTGGAAGGCCCACAGGATAGCCGTAATGAGCGTCGGGTCGCTCTGGTTCGCAAACAATCGTTGAGCATCAGGCGGCATAAACTTCTTGTACGCGCCCACCAACTCGCTGTAGCTCACACGAGTGGGCAGACCCACCTTGAGCACCTGAGCCGTCTGCATGATACCCTGGCAACGCAACTGTCCCACGACATAACGAGGATCAAACATACCCACACGCATGAGAGCGTTGGGCTTAATGCAACGGATGAAGTTGCATCGCGTAGCATCCAGAGTGTCCACAAGCTCCTGCATCTGGTTCGAGAACTTGGCCGCCACACTCTTTGTCAATTTCCTCTTGCCCGGGCGGCTGTTGTCGGGTTCTTGCTGGAAGAATGCAGGCACCAACTTGTTCGACGAGCCAGAAAAGAGGTTCGACATATCAGCAGGAATCGAGTCGTTGTTCTTATCGATGAAGGCGCCGATCGTGTAGCTCACAGCGCCGGCAAAGTGCCTCACAATAAACATGTGCTCCATATCCTTCGGATGCGGACGCGGGAAGTATGGGTGTTTCGAGTGCTTCGAGTGCAGCGTACGCAGGAACTTGGCATCGCTAGGCTGCGGGTTCATAGCCTCGGCATCGAGCAGCGACAAGATACCGTTGGGCTTCGAGGCGATCAGATCCACACACTCGCGGTTGTCGGGCCACTTGATCCTGCCCACCGTGATACCTTCACGCTTGTAGAGCTCCATCTCGGCAATGAACACTTGATTGTTGAATGTCGCCTGCAGCACTTCGTTCGTGTAGTTGATAAGCAGCTGCTCGAAGTCATTGCGCTGGAACGATTCGAAACCGAAGATATCCAGCACTCCAATGTACGGCAGCGGGTTGGGATCGTGACCCAGAGACGAGTTCACCTGCTTAATCACCCAGTCGAACATGCGGCTGTACAGCGCCTTGGCAATAGCGTCACGCGCGTACACAGCAGCCTGCTCGTTCCGGCGAACCGTGTACGTCTCCTCACGCGTAACAATGTCGCGCGTCATGATCACCTTCCACAGGTCCTCCTCCTTGACACCCAGCAATCTAGCCGCCGTGGTAATAGCGCGCTTAGCAGACTCCTTTTCAATGACGGCAGCTTCGCCCTCAGGCGTATCTTCTTCGACGAATTCAATGTTACCGAGATGCAGCAGACCTGCGACCACCGAAAAAATCACGTGCTGGACCTGTTCATCGATCCCCACGCAGCTCAGACCACGCACCACGGCTTCAAAGCACGCGTGGTCATCTGTCTCCTCAGCAATGTAGCATCCGCTCTGGTTCAGGTAGCAGAAGTCCTCGGCCTTCGTAAGTTCGAACTCTTGACGTGCAGCAGGTGAAGCACCGGCCAACAATTGGTAGAAAATGTGGAAATTGCGTTCGCCGTCTACCTGGTACACGAGACGCGACTTTTCCAGCAGATACGTCTCCACAAGAGCACCGGCCAACTTGAATTCGCCGTCTGCCGTGAACTGCAGCTTCATAAACTTGCCGAAACGTGACGAGTTGTAGTTACGAAGAGTCTTGGCATTACCAAAGGCTTCCAGGATGGGGTTCTGTTCAATTAGACGGTGGTCTAGCGACGTACCGTGCTCCTGACGGGTCTTGGACATGTTCTCGATCTCTTCTCCGCGTGCCTTCTTGCCGTACAGACCACGCGTGGTCAAGTGACGCAGCACGATCTTGGACGACTCGGTCTTACCGGCACCACTCTCACCACTGATGACGACCGACTGGTTAGTGGGTTGGTCGGTGCCTGAGTTGTAGACCATTTGCTGGTAGGCCATCTCAGCAATAGAGTACGGGTGCGGCGAGCTGCCTGCAGTGTTGACCACCTCACTGATACGAGGATTGGGTAGCTCCCGCAGCGGATTGACGGCGATCAGCACGTTGGCCATGAAGGTGTAGGGCTTCTGTCCGGTGCCGTCACCGCCATCGAGCTTGCAACGCTCCTCCAGGTTGTGTAGCACACCGGCCTCGTGGATGTAGTAGAGCGAAGTCATGTCGTCAGCCTCGCGAGGATTCTGCGGCACAGCGAGACCGCGATCCACCTGTTGGATCTTGCCGGCTTGAGTGCGCACCGTCACCTTGAGTCCGCCGATGGCCATGACGGTGGCCTTGTCCCACACACGGTCGGTGCCGGGCACCCAGATAACCTGACCAACCTCCACGGGAAGTAGTTCGACGTCGGCATCGGATTTAGAGGCCTGGCGGGCGATCGGAGGAGGTGTTGACATGGCGATAGGTCACGGCGGTGTGACGGAGGAACGACACGGCGTAGTGAAGCGAAAAGCAGCGCGTTAGAGAGACGACACACTCGGTATTTGGGCGAGGTGTGAGGCGCTGCGAGAATCGGAGCGGGGGCCGAGCGACGCAGGCGAGAACGAAGGGCGGGGCACTATGCTCTAAGGTCAGCGAGGCTTGAAGTGACAATGCGGAAGAATCTGAATCCCCCCTTAAGCTGCCTCTTCACGACAGAATGTGATTGGTCGAATCATAATGTGGCACCAATTTCAACCTATCAAAGGCGGTCTGTGTGGCGTACATAAACGATATCTAAGCAGAGCCAGGACAATACCAACGATGGTACGATGAAGGCAAGTAGACGACCATGGCGGACACGGTTGCACGCCGAGATCTCTCTGTGTAGATGTATCATCGTTTGTTGCATTTTGTACGAGGAAGACTATAGCTGTTGGCCATTTAGCTCACAAAGGCTGCACTGACGGCTCGCAACTGGAGACTTGAACTAGGTGTCAGCTCATCTGACTGGAGTTCTCCCGAAGGCGGAGCGTTCTACAAGCATGCCAGGTCCGTCGAGTTGCCCCACGTCACTTCGAAGCAGTCGCGAAGCGCTCCATACGCTTTCGCCGCTTCTCCTCGAACTGCAAAGCCACGTTAACACAAAAGAGCAGCCAAATTTTTGTGTCAGTATTGCCGTTTGGTCGCTGATGACCCAGCGACACTGCAACAAGATAAGATTAACCACAAACGCACCACTTCGCTGGTCTCGAGGCCGAAGCGTTTGGCGCGCTCCAGACGACGCTTCTCTTCGGCATTTAGACCAAAGCGCTCGGCCCGTGCATCCTTCTTCTTCTCAAGCTATATGAATCAACGACCACCGAGGGTCAGTACCACCAACGCAGCAGTAATGGCAACATCGAACGTTTCAGCAACGTACCGTATCTTTCGTCTCCAAATGGAATCGCTCTGCTCGTTTAAGTCGCTTTGCCTTCTCCTGTTCCGCCACTGCATGAGTCCACAAGTCCGAAGGTCAGTCTAGTCGTAGCCATTTCCATCAGCATACACGAACAGAGGGCACACCTGCGCTGGGGAGGTTAAAACGCTTCGCGCGCTGAGCCTAGCCGCGTCAAGGTAAGCATTATGCCGTGATTTAATCATCATCGCATCCAACCATCAGCCATTTCCACTCACCTTCTTGTCATCAAGACTCATCGGGGTCCCAAACTTGGCCGCACGGGCGGCACGCTTCTCCTCCTCTGTCGCGAGTTTGGTGGGGGCGTCCGTCTCCGGTCCGCTAATGCTCTGTGGTGTATTTTTCTCTGCATCCTGCTTCGTTTCTGGTGTCGACTCAACAGCAGCAACGGCAGCAGGCACCGCCGCTTCATCTTCTTTTTTTGTCTCCTTCTCGACGGGGGCAGCCAGGGTCTCTACTGGCGCCGCTACCTTCTTTACGGGGGATGGATTTTTAGACTTTGACTTTTTGGGCGCTTCGGGCTCGGCAGCGGGCACCTCCTTCTTCTTTGGCTCGGTCTTTTTAGGTTTCTTAGGACTTGGCATCTTGAGTTCCTCCATCTCCTGCGCCTCGCTACCGAACTCCTCCTCGTCCAGTGCCAACTCCAGGCGCTGGATCAGCTCCGTCTTGAGCCCGTTGGAGCTCAGCCCGCGCGACTCCAGCGCCGCACGCAGCTCGCTCACCTTCATCTTCTTGGGGTTCATGGGCGCCGCGCTGGTCATGAGGGCTTTCGATTGATTTTCAACTATAAAATCGATGGAGATCCAAAAATTGGAACACAAAAAAAAAAGTTGTTTGCTTAGAAAAGTGATTTGCCAAAATCACTTTTCTTAAAACGCATAACCCACTGCAGCTTCGAAAACAAGTGTTTTGGAGAGATTTTTTTAAGTGAAAGGTTTAAGAACTTGTGAACTCGTATAAGTAGACACAAGTGTATAAAAAAAGATTAATGTTATAGGCACCGAGTAGCTCGTACTTAAGCGCGAGTTAGCGTTACATGCTACGCACCGAGTAGCATGCTGTA